TAGTGTTAACCCTTTACCATGTGGAGGGTGACTCAGTTTCATTCACAGGTGCGATTCTTCGTCCGTTGTTCCATGGAATTAGCGTGTGATCGTGTTGCATTTTTCCTGGACAATTCTGTATTATCGCGATATTCCCTTTGAAATGCATTTGAGGAAATAGAAATTTTCAATTTTATTGGTAAGGAGAATCGTTTACACTGCTCTGTATAAAGTAATTATTTTTTCACGTGTATTTCAATGGAAATATCGTAATAATACAGAGTGTTGTCGAGGAAACAATGGAAAAGAGATTTGTAGTGGAAAAAATTAACACATTGCATTTTTAGAGAACTGAATTGTGTTGATGGCGATTATCAGTAATATCAACCTATATCACTATATATAGGAAAACTCAAATATCACGCTGTTGTGTAATAGATTTTAAATAGATAATCTCTGATAATTAGTTAAGTTCCATAGCTAAGTGTCTTTATAATCAAATCAGTGTTACCAACTTCTAATAATACATATGCTTCTCTATACCTTACGGATTTCCTGACACCATAATTACATAAAAATCTCATCACAAATGATTAACTCTTCTATACCATCTGATTTGAATAAATAAATAAATAAAGCGATGCTTCCCATTTCAGGAAAAGTAGCTCTCAAAACCTTGTTTAATCCACCGTACACACTGTATATACAGAAACAGTTACAAAACGTGAAGCTTTAATCGCATTATTCCTGAAAAAAGGCAATTCTAGTTTTAATTATAAGACGAGTAGGACATTCTGGAGCTTTGGGTAAAACTGAATTTATTTCTAGGTATGGGTAGATGCCGCAACACAGGTGTTCTTCTCCCTTGGCCCGGGATTCGGTGTGCTGCTGGCTTACGCGAGTTACAATAAATACCATAACAACGTTTACAAGTAAGAAAAAGCAAGAAACAATAGTAAGATTTTGTTATCCAACTAATTAGGACGAACGTGATATAAACATTCTTTTACCAAGCTTTGTACGTAATTTAATTAACACAAAATATCTGTCAATATTCAACACTTTTTAACGATACAATTCAAATATATTCTAAACTAATAGTTCCTAGATATGTCTAACTAATTTAATACCTTTTATACTAAAATACTAGTGGTGTTCTTTGATCCCTATAATACCTTGCTCATGCTCTGGATCGAAGAGCACCACTAGTTTTTTAATTGTTCACCGGACCAATTAAAAACTACTGGTGATTACTGATCTGGAACATGAACTAGGTACCTATCTAAAGACAGTCTTTCTAGGCACACATAGAAAGCCACTTATGAATATTCTATACTAATTAAGTTTAGAAAGTTTAGTTTTTATAAGGAATGATGAGTGATCATTAAAAATCCTTCTTATCAGAATGTTCATCCCTTCAGAATAAATATATTTTACTTAGAAACTTTCTGGTATTTGACAGATCATTAGGGTATAATCGTCATTGTCACCTTGTAGATCATATAAGATCAACAGGTTGTTTAGAAGAAATGCTTTGAAAGTTCACGCTGTTCTTGCTTTCAGAGACGCTCTGTTAACCAGCCTAATCAACAGTGCAACGTCTTTCGTTGCTGGCTTTGTGATCTTCTCTGTACTCGGTTACATGGCGCGAGCGAGCGGAAAATCCATTCAGGATGTAGCAACGGAAGGACCTGGCCTAGTGTTCATCGTCTATCCTGCTGCTATCGCAACTATGCCTGGATCCATGTTCTGGGCATTGATCTTCTTCATGATGCTTCTCACCTTGGGACTGGACAGCTCGGTAAAAACTTATTTGCGTGTTTACGTGGCGTTGCCTCTCTGATGTTGCACTTTCGAGATCCCTTAGTGCTGTGCAGCAATAGATAGCAAAATATTTTTTTCTTGTATTACTAGTTCTTAGTATTACCACTTTTTTCGAATAATAGTAGAGAAATATCTTGTCTGGTAT